GTTTTGTCCCCCTCCCTGTTTTCATATTCTTTTTGCTTCCCTTCCCTCATGTTCATCTGTTTTGTCTCTTAAATTCCTCATATGAGTGAAGTCAGATGATCTTTGTCTTTCTCTGACTAATTTCTGTTAGCATCATACCCTCTAGTTCCATCCACGTAGTTGCAAACGGCAAGATTTCATTCTTTTTGATTGCCGAGTAATACTCCATTGTATAGATATCCCACATCTTTATCCATTCATCCGTCGATGGACATTTGGGCTCTTTCCATACTTTCGCTATTGTCGACAGTGCTGCTATAAACATGGGGGTGCATGTGCCCCTTCTAAACAGCACCCCTGTATGCCTTGGGTAAATACCTAGTAGAGGAAGCAACTTCATTTGAAACAGAGTGTGAAGGTGAAGCCTGAAGGTTCTCTCAAAAACAGTGTAGATGGTAATGAAAGGCAATTGAAAACACATCAGTAGATTAACTGGAGATATATGCTAAATCATACACTGGCAAGCTTCACAGGGGAAAATGGAATAAGGCCTGCCTGGGGCCGGAACAAGTTTCAAATACTGACTTGGAACTCTTTTCTTTCTTTTTTTATTTTTAATTTAGTTAACCCATAGTGTAATAATGGTTTCAGGAGTAGAATTTAGTGATTCATCACTTACCTATAACACCCAATGTCCATCCGGACAAGTACCTTCCTTAATGCCCATCACCCATTTAGCCCATCCCCTCACCCACCTCCCCCCCCCAGCAACCCTCAGTTTGTTCTCTGTCTTTAAGAGCCTCTTAAGGTTTGCCTCCCTCTCTGTTTTTGTTTTTCCTTCCCTTTTCCTATGTTCATCTGTTTCATTTCTTAAATTCCACATATAAGTGAAATCCTATGGTATTTATCTCTATCTGACTGATTTGGCTTAGCATAATACACTCGTTCTATCCACGTTGTTGCAAATGGCAAGATTTCATTGTCTTTGATCAATGAGTAATATTCCCTTATATATATATACCACATCTTCTTTACCCATTTGTCAGTCAATAGACATTTGGGTTCTTTCCATGACATAACACTTCCATAATATTGTTGATAGTGCTGCTTATAAACATTGGGGTGCATATGCCCCCCTCAAATCAGCATTTTTGTATCCTTTGGGTCATAGGGTAGTTCTATTTTCATTTTTCTGAGAAACCTCCATACTGTTTTCCAGAGTGGCTGCACCAGTTTGCATTCCCACCAACAGTGCGAAAACGTTCCCCTCTCTCCGCATCCTGGCCAATACCTGTAGTTTCCTGAGTTGTTAATTTAGGCATTCTGACAGGTGTGAGGTGGTATCTCATTGTGGTTTTGATTTGTATTTCCCTGATGATGAGTGATGTAGAGCATCTAGAACTACCTCTTTAAAGAGCTTGATGTGTGTGTGTGGCGGGGGTGGGGGGTGGTCACCTGGGTGGCTCAGTCAGTTAAACATCCAACTTTGACTCAGGTCATGATCTCACAGTTTGTGAGTTCGAGTCCCGCATCGGGCTCTGTGCTGACAGCTCGGAGCCTGGAGCCTGCTTTGGATTCTGTGTCTGCCTCTCCCCCACTCATGCTCTCTCTCTCTCTCTCTCTCTCTCTCTCTCTGTCAAAAATAAATAAACATTAAAAAGATTTTAAGGGAGCTTGATTTTGATTGCATACCTTTGTGGAGTCATTCGAAATGCCCTGAAAGGGCACTGTTGAAAAGAGTAGAGCAGTCAGCCTGCAATTAGTGGAGATTAATCACTGCTTGAGGGCAGGGAAAGAAACATTCAAAGCAAGCTCTGAGAAAACCAAGGTCATCCCAGGGTGACTGCGGGCACACCCATGGCTCTGTTCCCTGGAGAGAAACATCAGAGGCTTCATACTGCGTGGGGAGAAATAAGCTCACTAAAATAGTCCTGCCAGGGAATATAAACGTAAACAAAGAAATAAAAATAGCAAGCCGAGGAGGGGTACAATTCCCAGAAATGCTACACTATATTACCTACAATGTCCATTCTCTAGCAAAAAATTACAAGACATGCAAAGAAGCAGAAACACATTAGCATAGATAAAGAGAGGCTTTTTATAAGGCTAAAGGGGTCAGTTTCACCAGGAAGACACAATTACAAACACATACGCAGCTAACAACGGAACACCAAGTTATGGTGTTATCGGTAGCAAAACCAGACGTTGAGGGAGAAATAGATAACTCAACAATCACTGTTAGAGACTCAATGCCTCAATCCAATAATGGATCGAACAGTTAGGCACAAGGTCAACACTGATATAGGAGGCTTGAACAAGCTATACACCAACCAGACCTGATAGACTTATGGAGAACATTCCATCCAACAACAGAAAGGCTTTCTTCTCTAGTGAACATAGATTAGTCTCCATAATAGACTATCAACTAGGCCATAAAGCAAACCTCAATATATTTACAAGGATAGAAATAATACAGAGTATGTTTTCTGACCACACAGGAATGAAGTTAATGGTTAGTAATAGAAAGGAATTCGAGAAACTCACACACACACACACACACACACACACACACACACACTAAGTAGCACACTCCTAAAAAGCAGGGGGTCAGGGAGAAAGCAAAATGGAGATTAGGAAATGCATTCATGATAAATGACATATACTTACAAAATGCAGCTAAAGCAGTGTTCAGAGGGAAATTGGTACCTGAAAATACCTATTTAAAAAAGAGGAACAATCTTGGGGTGCCTGGGTGGCTCCGTGGCTTCAGCGTGTGACTTGGGCTCAGGTCGTCATCTCGGGGTTTGTGAGTTCAAGCCTTACATCGGGCTCTGTGCTGACAGCTCAGAGCCTGGAGCCTGCTTTGGATTCTGTCTCTCTCTCTCTCTCTCTCTCTCTGCCCCTCCCTGCTCATGCTCTCTCTCTCTCTCTCTCTCAAGAATACATAAACATTAAAAAAAATTTTTTTTTAAAAGAGGAACTATCTCAAAATCAATAGCCTAATACTTCACCTTAAGACACTGGAGATTAAAAAATAATAATACTACACTTAAAGCAAGCAGGGGACACCCAGGTGGCTCAGTCAGTTAAGTGTCTGACTTCAGCTCAGGTCATCATCTCATGGTTTGTGGGTTCAAGCCCCGTGTCAGGCTCTGTGCTGACAGCTCAGAGCCTGGAGCCTGCTTTGGATTCTGTGTGTCCCTCTCTCTCTGCCCCTCCCCTGCTCATGCTCTTTCTCTCAAAAATAAAATAAACATTAAAAAAATTTGTTTTGAAGCAAGCAGAAATATCAGAGCAGAAATTAATGAAATACAGAACAAAAATAAATACAAAAAAAGCAATGAAACTAAAAGCTGGCTCTTTGAAAAGACCAGCAAAATTGACATATCTTTAGCCACATTGAACGAGAAAAACAGATAGAAGTCTTAAAAATTAGAAAGGAAAGAGGGAACATTGCTACCGATCCTACAGAAATAAGGATTATAACCGTATACTATAAGCAACTATATGTAAATGAATTAGATTTCTTAGCTTAAATGGATGAATTTCTAAAAGACACAAACTACTGAAAAGACTCCAGAAAAAGCAATCTGAGTGCCCCTAAAGAGTAAAGACACTGATTGGCTTCTTAATAAAAGTGATTGCCCACAGAGAAAAATCCCAGGCCCAGATGGCCTCATGGGTGAATTCTACCAAGCATTTAAAGAAAAGTTACTACCAAATTTTCATAAACTCTTCCAAAAAAGTAGAAGAGGAGGGAACACCTACAAATTCATTCTATATGCCCCGTCTTCCCCTGATAGCCAGACAAGAAACTATATTACCATAAAGGAAAGCTACAGACTAATATCTCTTAGGTATCTAGATGCAAAAATCCTCAACAAATCACTAGCAAACTGAATCCTGAAATATATAAAAGAATGATAAGGTCGCCTGGGTGGTTCAGTCAGTTGAGCATTTGACTTCGGCTCAGGTCATGATTTCATGACTTCAGCCCCATGTGGGGGGCTCTGTGCTGACGGCTCAGAGCCTGGAGCCTGCTTCAGATTCTGTGTCTCCCTCTCTCTCTGCCCCCTTCCCTGCTTGCACTCTCTCTGTCTCTCAGAAATAAATAAACGTTAAAAAAATTTTTTTTGTAAAAGAATGATATACCATGACTACATGGGATGTATCCCAGGAATGTGAGGTAGATTTAAAGTCTGAAAATCAATTAATGTACTGCACCGTCACCTAGAAAAGTGCACCATCAAAAAGAAAAACTTCACATGATTATCTCAACAGATGCAGAAAAAGCATTTGACAAGATCTCATACCCTTTCGTTATAAAAACACTCAACAACTAGGAATAAAAGGGAGCTTTCTTAACCCTTTACTGGGTTAAGAATCCCGCAGCTAACACAATACTTAACAGCGAAAGATTGGAAGCTTTCTTGCCAAGAGTAGGGATAAGATGAGGTTTCCTGTTGCCACCACTCCTGTTGTCAACATTATGCTGGACGTTCTAGCTAGGCAATTAGAAAATGAAATAAAATAAGAAGCATTCAAATGAGAAAGGAAGAAGCGAAACTGTCTCTATTGGCACATAACATCGTTGTGTAGGTAGGAAGTCCGAAGGACTCCACTCAAAATCTATTAGAACTAATAAACTAGTTCAGGAAGGTACAGGGTACAAAATCAATATACAAACATCCCTGTAATTCTATACACTTGCAATGAACAAGCTGAAAATGAAATTAGTAAGACAACACTATTTACAAACATCCAAAAGAATAAAATACTTAGGAATGCGTTTCGTACAAGAAGCATAAAATTCAATGCTACAGAAACATTATTCAAATTAATAAGGTGTAGCTAAATGAAAAGAAATCCAGTGTTCATGGATTAGAATATTTAATGCTCTTACAAAGGCAATAGGCACCAAGTGACCTAGAGAGATTCAGTATTCTCTCTCTTACAATCCCAGCCGGCTACTTTGTAAAAACTTGATACACTGATTCTAAAATTCATATGGAATTGCAAGGGACCCAGAATAGCAAGATGTTTTTGTAAAAGAACAAAGTGGATGACTCACACTTTCAGTTTCAGAGCAACAATACAAAGCAATAATAATCAGGACAGGGTGGTACCAGCATAAGGATAGATACACAGATCAATAGAATAAAATTGAGAGTCAGGAAATAAGTTCATCTGTCTGTTTATACTCAACTGGTCTGTGACAAGAGTTCCCAAACCATTCAATATGGGAAGAAGGTCTTTCCGACAAATAATGTTGTTGGATATCCATGTACGAAATGATGAAGTCGGACCCTTAGCTTATACCGTAAACACAAATTAACCCAAAATGGATTAAAATCTAAATTTAGAAGCTAAAATTAGACTCTTAGAAAAGACTCTTAGAAAAAAATCTAAGAGATTTTTTTCTCTAGAAGGTCTCGATCTTCATGACCTTGGGTTTAACAATGGATTCTTAGAGATGAGACTGAAAATACATGAGACACAGAAGAGAAACAGATCAAGTGGACTTCATCACAAGTAATGCTGGTCTTCAGAGGAGACCATCAAGAGAGTGAAAAGTCACCCACAGAATGAGAAAAAAAGTATTTGCAAATCATATGTGAGATAAGGGACTTGTATGGAAAAAAAATAAGGAACTCTTTTAACTCAATACTAAGACAAATGACACAATTTTTAAATGTACAAAGGATTGGAATAGACATTTCTCCAAAGAAGATATGCAAATGCCATTAACACACGAAAAGATGCTCAAAATCATTAGTTATAGGGAAATGCAAATCAAAGCCACAATGTGGTCCCAGTTCATATTCACTAGAATGGTTATAACCAAAAGGTCAGTCAATAACCAGTGTCGGCAAGGATGTGGAGAAACTGGGACTGTCACACACTACTGGTAGGAATGGAAAATGGTGGATCCACCCCAGAAAACAGTTTGACAGTTCCTCAAATAGTGAAACACAGAATTATCCGATGACACAGCCATTCTACGCCACGTCTACACCCGAGAGAATTAAAAACATAAGTACACACAAAACTTTCACATCGTTGTTTACAGCAGGATTTTTCATAATAGCCCAAAAGTGGAAGCAACCAAAATGCCCATCAACTGATGGACAGATAGACAAAATTAATATATTCTTACAATGGGATACTCTATGGTCATAAAAAAAAAAAAAAAAAGAAGAAGGAAGCAATGCCCATGCTACAACATGGAGCAGTTCTTCCTGGGCCATCTTGCCACCTAATCCACATAGAACTCGTGTTGAAACCCAGACACAGAGTGACATATTTCTATAACCTAGAAAATTTCCCAGACACCTGATAAGTGACTTTTGTAAGCCTCCATCATTTTCTTTTTCCTTTCTTTTTCCTACTTTTGCTACGAAGGGCCTGCTGTGGGCACGGTATTGGGATCTACAATCGTAGACAAACATGACTTGGCCTAAGAGTCCTTTAAGAGCTGTAAAGTCTACAGAAACAGAAACACGAGTGTCTACTTCCCTACTAATACTTCTCACAGAAGAGCACAGAGTACTGTGCCTAGTGAGCAGTGAATAGTGAATCTAATGCTGTTAACGGCTGGTTTCTTCACAGAATGAGAGAAATTGTGGCTTCCAGTGGGATAGCTGTGGATGTTTCCTCAAATCAAAACCACGGTGTCCGGTTAGGGAAGGCTGTAACACCTGACACCTCAGGACACACACCAAACAAGCTGCAGAGATTCCTGAAGAAACATCTCAAACTCCTGGGGGTAGGTGAGCCTCAGCCAGGTGCAAGTTTTAGTGAAGAGAAACTAGAAGGTTTTTGTTTAATCTTGGGGGGGGGGGTGGGAGGGGTTGGGTAGCTTGGGAGATAGTAGAGTGCTGGGAATCCCATGGAGGAGGCCTTGAAGGACACCAGGGTGTATGCCTGTAGGGGTAACTCCAGGCAAGAGACAGGCAAGCTGTCACAGTGATGTGATTTTAGCTGTTGCCAGGGAGCAGATACCACGGTACCCAGCTCTACTTAGGAGCTCTTCTTAGTGACGAGTGACGGTCCAATCCACGGGTGGCCTCTGTGTTTGAAGACAGAAATCTTCTCTCTTGGAATGTTCACCGACGTCTGTATTTTATTCTATTCTGTCTTTTATCCAGGTGGCTCAGATTATGATTAGTGTGAAATTCATCATCTATGGGATAATTGGAATTTCAGTTCTCCATTACGCAACACCCAACGCCAGTTTCTTCTCATTTCAGATAGGCTTCCCGATATGGGCAGCTTTACCTGTGAGTACATCTGACTTATACCTAAAATAACTGATAGTCAATTAACTCTTCATTCAGTCATCCATCAAATTGTGCGCTGGCCGCCTGCAAAGGTTGCAGAGTTTTCAAACTTGCCGATCTAAGGTTCAATATTTAATCTCAGCCATTGTAGACTTTCTATTGTCATAGGAGCCTTAAGGTCTATGTGTTGGTGATTATTCATTAAATTCTAGGTAGCATACAGCCATACAGTAAAATCCTACTTGTTTCCTTTAGGAGACTGTATTGGGTTGGGTTATTAGATAATTTCTGGTTCACCCACAGAGTTCTCTTCAAATATGCATAGAATATTGAAGTGTTGAAGATGATGGTCATGTAGTGAACAACTATTCCTTTGAACTTGTCTTTTTTCCTGGCCAAAGCTACTGAGATGAGAATCATGGGATATGAGTGCACTTAGTCCCTTCTCTGAAACTCAAGATAAATTTAGCTCTCTTTTTAAATTTTTCTCTACCTTCCATGGAAACATTCACTGGATTCCTTTGATTTCATCCCCTCTGCTTTAGACAAGGATTTTCACCTTTAGATAAGGATTGTCAATTATTTTCATAAGGAGGCGAAGGCAGCCATGAAAATTTAGTCACGCGCTGTATGCAGTTCAATAATCTGCCCTACTCAAAGTTTTGAAGGGATTTTCATAGGAAAAGAAAATACACACTAAGGGTAATTGACCCTTTAGACATGGCCAGTTAATGTACAGGAAGAAGTGCTAATAAGCTCGTTTCTCTCTCATGAGCAGTTTATCGTTTCTGGATCTATGACAGTTGTGTCTGCAAAGAAGCAAACCGAAGCTCTGGTAATGTATCAGTTAATTCATATTTCATTTATAGATAGTGTGTGGCCTTGCAACACTCTGATATCCTATAGAAGGCCCAATAAGCCAGAAGTTCCTTGTTTTTCAGTCCATTTTGAGGACAAGTACAAATGTCTTTTCTTTCCACGAATTCATCTGATCACTCTGGGTCTGGATACAATCAGAAGCCTCCTCAGGTTTAGATAAGATCTATTCCCTTGGGTTTTCAGAATACAAATCTCCATGAGTAAAATTTGACATAGACTTTATGGCCGTGAGTAATGTTGATATAGAGAAATGAATCCCTTGAGGCTTGAACAGGGTAGACATTTATTTGGGCTCATCCATATCAGGGAAGGGAAAGAATAAAGGCTCACAACTGATGCTTTTTCCTGTGGCATATTTTATTCCGCTGTCAGCTGCCTTCAGCTTTCCTTTGCTCAATTGTGGGTTTCCATTTAATTTAACTGCGACACAGTTAATTAGTACCCAGAAGAGGTATTAAGGATTATTTGTGAATATCTCTCCTGGGAAAGGTTTATGGAGGCCTGTAAGAAATCAGAAGTTAAGGGTCCTGAATGTTTTCGGTGAATGGACTTTTTCTGTATTGCAGCTGAGAGGAAATCTGAGAGCTAACACTCTCAGCACAGTTGTTTCGAGTATCGGAATTCTCATTCTTTCACACAACTTAGTAAAAATCACCTTCATGAACTGTGACATGGAAGATTTATGTCTTGGTGTCACATCAGTTGTAACTGTAAGTATTTTTCTTCTGAATGCTGAAAAGCCTGCCTACGTATGAGGCCCAGGATCAGGAGATAAGAGATTATAGGCACAAGTCTAAAAAAGGTTCCTTCATTTGAATGGATCCATAATTTCTAGGTAAGTCCGATGTCGTTTTAACAAGAGACAAAATATTTGCATTCAATACGAACAAGGGCAGGGAACCCAAAATTCCTTTATGCCAATTTGATACCTTCGCGAAAAATTGCAAACAAATGTACCAACGTTATTTACTTCTTGGTCCGTGATTGGGGTGATTTCTATTGTCTGCTTTATATTTTAATGTTCCTACAAATTTTCTACAGTAAATATGCATTCTGTATACAATTAGAATCCAGGTAAAACCAGGAAAACTCTCTGATTTGAGGAGAGCAGGGAGCTGAGAGTCAGGAGAAACCAAGGCATCTCGAGTTTGTGGGAGAGCACACTTGAGAAGAGAGATCTGCAAACAGATAATTCCAGATCTATACCTAGGTCCCTTTAAATATTAATTACAGTACTTATCAGTGCATGTGCATGAAAAAATACCTGAGGGCAGAGGAAGGATCACCCCAAATGATTAGAGGGAACAGTACCCAACATTCACCTAAGGCCAGGTATAGAGTCTGTTTCCATCTGCCAGCCTGTAAAAATATCTTGTAACTGACAAGATAACATTACAATGTCTCACACATAATAAAAAATGACCAGACATACAAAGAAGCAAAATAATATGTTCCATAACAAGGTGAATCAATTGAAACAGTCTCAGAAAAGACACAGATGTTAGAAGTAGCAGACAATGACCTTAAGAGTTACTTTATTCTGCGTTCCATCCTTTCAAGTTACGTGCAGACATGGAAGATAAATGTTTTAAAGTCCCACATCAAACTTCTAGAGAAGAAAACTACCATGTTTGAGAAGAAAAACTGGCCGATAGGATTAATGACAGAATTAAACATTCAGGAAAATAAAATACTAATGAACTTGAGGAAATAATACTAAAAACCATCCAAAGTAAAAAACAGAGGCACAAAGTACACGTGAAAATATTAAAAGAGCATCAGTGACCAACAAAATAACTTCAAGTTATTGAAGAGACATGTAACTGGAGTCCCCACAGAAAGCGAATGTAGGACAGAAAAAAAATATTTGAATCAATTGGGTGAATCTTTCCCAAAATTTGGTAATACTTGTATACTCACAGAATCTAAGAAGATGAATAAAGCATAAGAAAACAAAAAACAGGGGCGCCTGGGTGGCGCAGTCGGTTAAGCGTCCGACTTCAGCCAGGTCACGATCTCGCGGTCCGTGAGTTCGAGCCCCGCGTCGGGCTCTGGGCTGACGGCTCAGAGCCTGGAGCCTGTTTCAGATTCTGTGTCTCCCTCTCTCTGCCCCTCCCCCGTTCATGCTCTGTCTCTCTCTGTCCCAAAAATAAATAAAAAACGTTGAAAAAAAATTTAAAAAAAGAAAACAAAAAACAACTGTTTCAGGGCACATCATAGTGAAATTTCTCAAAACCAATGATTGAAAGAAAGTCTTTTTCTTTTTAGTTTTTTAATGCTCATTTCTTTTTGAGAGAGAGAGAGACAGAGTGCAAGTCGGGTTTGGTGGGGGGAGGTGGCAGAGAGAGAGGGAGGCACAGGATCGAAGCAGGCTCCAGGCTCTGAGCTGTCAGCACAGAGCCCGATGTGGGGCTCAAACTCACGAACTGTGAGATCATGACCTGAGCCGAAGTCGGATGCTTAACCGACTGAGCCACCCAGGCGCCCCTTTAGGTAAATATAAATTAAGAGCATTACAAGGTATGACGACCTACCTAACACAATATGCATAATTTAAAAAATAGTGGCAATACAGAATGCTGTCAAGGATGCAGAGAAACGGGATGTGTTCTGCATTGCTGGTGAGAATGTAAAATGGTACTCTGGAAAATATCCCTCAGGAAAGTAGTTTGTCAATTTCCTAAAACACTAAAGATACACTTAACATGCAACCCAGCAATCTCACTCCTGGGCATTAGTCTCAGAGAAATAAAAACTGAATTCCACACAAAACCAGTGCTTGGTTGTTCACAGAAGCTTTTTATGTCACACACAAAAACTGGTAACAACCTAGGGTCTTACCGCAGATAAATGATGACTCAGCTATGATACATACACACAACAGAATACTACTCAGCAAATAGAAGGAGTGAATGATTCACAAAACAGCTTCTCTGGATCTAAAGAGCATCATGCTGAGTGAAAAACCGAATCTCAAAATATCACCAAGTGTATGATTCCACCTACACAGTATTCTCAGAATGACGATATTATAGAGGCAGAGAACAGATCAGTGGTTAACAGGGGTTAGCGATGGTGGAAGGAAAGGAAGTGTGTGTGGCTATAGGAGAGCAGCATGAGGGATATCTCTGTGGAGATGGAATAATACTGTCTTAACTGTGGTGGTGGTTACACAAATCTATGCACATCATGAAATCTCACGGAATCACACACACATTATTCCGACGTTAATGTCCTGGTTTGATACTGCACCATAGACACATATGATATAACCATAGGGAGACAGTGGATAAGGGAAAATGGGACCACCTTGTGCTCTCTTAGCAACTGCCTGTAACTTCCCATCATTATTTCCATATAAAAGTTGAAAAAAATGGGAAAAAGGTAGAGTAGGCACTTCAAAAAAAGATACACAGACGGCAAATAGGCACCTGGAAAGATGCCACTAGTCATTAAGAAAACACAGGTTAAGATCACAATTACTGGGCACCTGGGTGGCTCAGTTGGTTAAGTGTCCAACTTCAGCCCAGGTCATGATCTCATAGTTTGTGGGTTCAAGCCCCGCATCGGGCTGTGTGCTGACAGCTCAGAGCCTGGAGCCTGCTTCGGATTCTGTGTCTCCCTCTGTCTGCCCCTCCCCTGCTTGCTCTCTGTCTCTCTCTCTCTTTCTGAAATAAATAAACATTAAAAAAAATTTTTTAAACATCACAATAACCTATTACCACACATCTGCTAAAAGGGACTGACGTCATTTATGAGAACCAGTACCAACTTGGCCTTGTAGACAATTTCAACCATCTTTCAGATGAATTACTATAAAAGAAACTTTAACCTCTAGGAGACTTCTGGTTTGGGTTAGGAGACCAGGTTCAGGAGGGGGATTGGATCCGTTTCTCCTTGAATCCCCAAATCCATTGAAAAGACTTGCTCCTATAGACACTGCATCTTTTCTGCTAGCTGAGAATGAACAATATTATAATATTAACAACATAAAGTGATCACTGTGGAAAGGAAATTAACCAAGGCTATTTTTTTAATGCCGTCACTGTTGTGTTAAAATTCATAGGAACAGTGACTTTTTTTCTTCTGAAATCCAGTTTGTCAAAAGCACCACATATATTTTTTAATTCTGATTCAACCTGGTATCACCATTTTATATAATGCTAAGGTGCTCCCCACAATGGGCCTGAGGTGAAGCTCTGGGATATGGGTTTTCATAGGGCCATGGGAAGAAAATCCAATGCAACGGAATTTTATTCTCTTTAACAGGGTCTTGTGGTTATACTGTTGATCCTGAACTGTCTGCAATTTTTAATTACACTTGCTCTGTCCATGCTTACCTACAATGTGGATGGCAAGAGAATTGACTGGGTAAGTAACAGTTCTTGAGAGAACGAGGGTGCAACTGATTGTTTTATTTAGTGATGTGGGCTATGATTATTTGCATAATTTTTGAGAGAAACAAAGACAAAACGGGTGGTGTAGAATTTCTGAGAACCACTCGTTTTTTTTTTTTTTTTTTTTTTTTTTTTTTTTTTTTTTTTTTTTTTTTTTTTTTCATTTTTTTAATGTTTAATTATCTTTGAGAAAGAGAGAGAGAAAGACAGATTGTGAGCGGTCGGGGGGGGGGGGCAGAGAGAGGCAGAGGCTCAGAATCGGAAGTAGACCTCCAAGCTCTGAGCTGTCAGCACAGAGCCCGACGCAGGGCTCAAACTCACCAGCCATGAGATCATGACCTGAGCCAAAGTCGGTCGCTTAACCAACTGAGCCACTGAGGTACCCCTTTTAATTTTTTAAAAGAGTTTACTTATTTATTTCGAGAGAGAGAGAGAGCGGGGTAGGGAGAGAGAGAATCCCAAGCAGGCTCCACACTGTCAGTGCAGAGCTCAACTTGGGGCTCGGAACCCATGAACCGTGAGAACCCATGAACCCATGAACCTAAGCCACGATCAAAAGCTGGACACTTAACCGACCGAGACACCCAGGAGCCCCATGAGAACCACTCTTTATATGCTAACCATACTTTCCAGCACACTGATTAATGCCTAGGACAATCAGAAACTTTCAACCATGTTGACTCTGAGTAATTCCATTTTTTTGTTAGCTTATTGGTTCATTGATTCATGTATGTATCATACACAGAACATCTACTGGTGGGCTGCACCATGTGGCATGGAAAAGATACAAAAATAAGTCCTCCGCTTGAATAATTCAAAGCATAATTAGGAACATCACCCCACGAAGGGGTAACTTATACTGTCGTGGTATTGTGCTGTAGAAACTCAGACTACCTCCAAAGTACCTGAAAGTTGTAATTTTATTCTCCTTTCCTGTAACAGCTCAGAAGTCAGCGGACCACATCTGGAGGTATAGCTTTAGCTTCTTCGTTGTGTGGCTTCTCTTTCCCTGTAGAAGTTGCTGCTCTGATGCCTTCCTTTGTCAGCCGGATCTTTGCCATATGGCCACACCGAATTGCAAAAGCTGTTGCATAATTTAGCCACAGGCTGGGCAGTTGTTTGTGTAGTTTAAACCTCCGAGTTGTGCTATTTGAGGATGCAGATAATACTGAAAACTGGTAGACAAACAATTTCCTATCACGCTCTGTTCGCTGACCACCCGAACGCCCTATTCAGCTTCCCTCCCCCAAAGTGAATGCACCACCCATTCACTTTGGAAAATCATCAAGGTGGAAAATCCAAAGTCTCACGCATTTGTTATAATTGGCTCAAAGTACAGGATTTCTGAGTGATTTGCCATTTTCTCCTATAATTCTGGTACTGCTTACTGGTTACTTAAGAAGCTACTGAATTCAAGTCTTGTTATCTGCCCTCGCTTCCACTCAGAGCCAAAAATAATAGCTGATTAGGAGGACTAAAAATCACACAAATCCCCACTTTGAAAAACAAGTCATTGATAACCTTAATGTTACCCATCTATAAGAATTATGATTCGCTTAGGCAGGAGTTGAGAAGCCCAAACAAGGATATGGCTTTCTCTTCTTCTCTTTATTAAATAGCCCTTTATTATTATTAGTTTGCCCTCTTTGGGGGTTGCTTGATTTTTGCACCCCACATTCTGATGGTGCAGGGGATCTGGGGATTGTTTCAGATGCCAAATAGTTCCAAGTTTTTGCAAGGTAGGCCTTTGAGCTTGTGAAAAGAAAATATCTTTAAACCATCAGGAATGGTAGAACAGCTTTGTTCTCTCTCTCTTTTTTTTTTTTTTTTAATGTTTACTTATTTTTGAGAGAAAGACAGAGTGTGAGTGGGGAGGGACAGAGAGAGAGGGAGACACAGAATCCGAAGCAGGCTCCAGGCTCTGAGCTGTCAACACAGAGCCGGACGTGGGGCTGGAACGCTCGGACGGTGAGATCATGACCTGAGCTGAAGTCGGACGCCCAACCGACTGAGCCACCCAGGCGCCCCCAGCCTTGTTCTCTTTAGTGGTGAATTTCAGGTCTGTATCCATGAGCGCTCTCTCAGTTCCATCCCTTGTACGTGCATTCTAGCCAGCAGGAAAAGAAAAAAAGAAGCACACACACATGTATTTTAAGTGTGCCAGTCAAGAGTGGTTCACAGTAATTTTTCTTACATCCACTTGGCCAGGTCTTAGAATCTGGCCATACTGAGATGAAAACAGCCTTAAAATTAAAGTCACAAATCAGTGGCCGTTTGCTCAGATAAATGCAAATGATTTTTTTTAAGGAAATAAGAGAAAATGTAGCTTTAACCTCATACAAGTGTCTTTAAAAAAGTACCAAATACATTTTTGGAAAACACAATGATCATCCCTCATACATACAGAAAATCTTATACATATTCTCTCATGAAATCTTTACACATGTATATATAGACAGACATAAAAATCATACACACACACACACACACACACACACACACATATATATATAAAACAGGCGCAGATTAATTTTCTAGGCCTTCGTAAATATTTAGGGTTCCCAGAAATATCCAGGCTGCTTTTTCCACATTAGAGACAGAAAAGGAAGGCAACGATCTCCTATCTCTCCCTAGTTTGTGTCATCCCTGGATATCAGTCAATTTTCTTTTTCCGTTACCTCCTACAAATCTTACGGATGTAGGGAAATAAGCTGAAAAACGTTCACACACATCCTGACACTGGGTAACTTGGCAGTGTCGGTGGTGACTGACCTTGACCTCTACTGTGCCCTCCCTGGGGAATATGTATTAAATCACAGCAGCTCAGAGTAACATGGGGTAGCCTTTGGAGTCCAGGTTATACCTTAAGGAAGAGGACTGGAATAAAACTCGGAGGATTTAGGTGAAACTATTCTGAATGATGTTTTGGCTTATTCACAGGTTTCTGCATTATCTTTCCTGAAATCGGCTTCCGAAAGTCCTTATCAAGGCTTGTTGCATCAGCCTTCCTTCTACCAAAATCTTGAGAGGAAGGACACATTGTTATACTATAACACCTGAGACAAGTGCCGATGTGAGAGTATGCTTCTGTTACCTGCAGTCATGGAGATGGAAACTGGAAGAATAAAACGAGATAAGGCCAAAACCTTCTTTGGATCCTCCTTTGTTGACTACTATTGTATTAGTCAGCATAGACCATGATGCTATAATAAGATTTCATCCCTGAAACACCTGTGCTTATCATAACTTAACCGTATATAGCTGCATGTTCCATGTGACCTATTAGGTCACAGCCACCCCTGCCAATTACAGTCATATTAAACCAACACAGACTGAAGGGTTTAGCTACAATTCAGTAGAGGCTTGAGTACAGGTGAGAGACAGGTTTACATCACGGGCCATTGTTGGGATCATCTCTAACCAATCGAGCTTCTAATCAATAAAGGATTTCTCATTCTCTTTTCATGGAGATAAGTCTGGCTAAACATTACAGCCATTACCAATATCATAGGCAGCTTCTTAAATGTAAAAGACTAGTAACGTATTGTTTTGATCAAACATTTATGGTGATTATTTTTCTTGGGATAAAGAGACCAGAGCACAAGCCTCTCTTACAAAAGCCTCCTCAATATGATTTTTAAAATTCCTTTTTCTCTTTTTAAAAATGTTTTAATGTTTATTTATTTTTGAAGGAGAGAGAGAGACAAAGTGTGAGTGGGGGAGAGGCAGAGAGAGAGGGAGACACAGAATTCGAAGCAGGATCCAGGCTCTGAGTTGTCAGCACAGAGCCCGAAGTGGGGCTCGAACTCATAAACCATGAGATCATGACCTGAGCTGAAGTTGGACACTTAACCCACTGAGCCACCCAGGCACCCCAAAGTTCCTTTTCTTCTCAGTCTTCCCCCCCAACCTGGCTTTGTTGAGGTATAATTGACAAAATTGTAGTATTTTTAAAGTGTACATATGATGATTTGATATACGTATATATGGTGAAATGATTTTCACAATCAAGTCAACTATACATCTATCACTCCACATAGTTGCTGTGTGTGTGTGTGTGTGTGAATGCTTAACATCTACTCTGTTACCAAATTTCAAGTATATAATTCACTATTATTAATTATAGTCGCCATGGTTTATATCAGACCCTCAGAACCTTTTCATCTTTTCACTCTTTCTTTTTAAGATTTTATTTAAATTCCAGTTAGTTAACACACAGTGTAATGTTAGTTTCAGGTGTAGAATTTAGTGACTCAATGCTTCCATACGACACATCCTACAACTCTTTTTTGCAATAGTCTTCACTGAACTCTCAGCACTACAGTGAGGGTTCGATTCCGTATGGCACACTTCAAGGGAAGGACAATATATGTATCTGCCCAATTATATATCTAAATTGGAGGGAAAATCTAGCATTTTCCTTTTTGAAGTCATACACTTTTTACCTTTATAGAAATAAAAAACAAGAGCTCAGATGCTTACCACCACTCTACTAATGTGTAATTGACCTATAAAAAAACTGTATGTTTAAACTACAGATCTGGGGCACCTGGGTGGCTCAGTCAGTTAAGAGTCCAACTTCAGCTCAGGTCATGATCTCACAGCTTGTGAGTTTGAGCCCCACATCAGGCTCTGTGCTGACAGCTCAGAGCCTAGAGACTGCTTCAGATTGTGTCTCCCTCTCTCTGCCCCACCCCCCCCCCCCCGCTCACATTCTGTCTCTCTCAAATAAACATTAAAAATTAAAAAATAAATAAACTACAAACCAATTATGTGGAGTGCCAGGGTGGATCAGTCGGTTAAGTATCCAACTCTTGGTTTTGGCTCAGGTCGTGATCCCAGGGTTATGGGTTCAAGCCCCATGTCGAGCTCCATGCCTGCTTGGGAGTCTCTCTCCTTCTCTTTCTACCCCTCCCCCTTCAAAATAAATAAATACACATTAAAAAAAATAAAGTACCTGGGAGGGATCAGCTCAAACATTTGCTTGCTGTGTTCAGGGAACCTCCTGGGAAAGGTTTAGAAATAGATTCTCATAAAATGATGTTCCCTAGTCTTGCACTAACATCTAGTTAAGATTGAATGATGTTTGGGGACACAGGTATGTGTTTCTCCTATTTTCTTACATATGGTGGCTTTTCTCTTAGATTCTTAGATGGCTTGCTCAGGCTGTGCTGGTGCCTATGGCTCATGTAAGTTTTCCTTGAGTTGTCCCATGCAAGGAAAATGTAGGCGAATATTAATCTTATAAAAGCTACTTGTTAGGTAATGGCACTAATTATTGGAGAAGGTCATCATTGTCTAAGGGCATTTCTTTTTCCATAAAAAAAATTACCCAACTCTCTGGCTGCAAATTTAATGTTGCAATTTCATAAGCCCTTAGAGCACTTCCAAGCTGTGCTGTGAAATGATCTCAATAGTGGGGATCATTTGCGAAGGTCAGGAAATAATTCTCCTAAAACCCACATTCTGTCCAGAATGTGCAACACGGAGTATTTTGATCCCCAAGACTGGCTAGCTAGTTTCCTTGGTGCTGTTTTATCCAATTTTACATAACAAATAATAAGGATTTTTTTGTTTATCACGGTAAGTACTGGGATCCATGAAGAAGGTGTACTTGGCATAGAATTATATTCTCTAGGTGTTCATTATTCTTTTTTTTTTTAATGTTTATTTATTTTTGAGAGAGAGACAGAGACAGAGAATGCATGGGGGAGGGGCAGAGAGAGGGAGACACAATCTGAAGCAGGCTCCAGACTCTGAGCTGTCAGCACAGAGCCCGAGGCGGGGCTTGAGCCCACGAGCAGTGAGATCATGACCTGAGCCAAAGTCAGATGCTCAACTGACTGAGCCATCCAGGTGCCCCATAAGTGTTCCTTATTCTTGTTGAGAAGTAGGATATTGCGCAAAAAGGCTGTCGCTTCCAAAGGGTGTGTTTTGTCAATCAGGAGTCAACAAAAGAAAAATGGTAAAATACCATTTTGTCATCATGAAGAATGAGTCACAATTTGTCCAGAGAGACATAAGAGAGGAGTGACAAAACTTTTGAGCTAATTATAGTATTATGAAGATATAAGAAAAATACACTTTTTCCTAACAACACACAGAATAAACACAAATGCATTTTTTGTCTTTTTTTCACTTTTTAAAATATTTTAGCGAGGGATGGTGGGAAAAGTGCACAGAGAGAGAGAGAGAGAGAGAGAGAGAATCCCAAGCAGGCTCCACAGTCAATGCAGAGCCCCACGAGTGGCTCAGTCTCATGGATCATGACCTGAGCTGAAATCAAGAGTTGGACGCTCAACTGACACCCAGGTGCCACACAAAATACATTTTGAGTATGGGAAGACAGAGTGCAGGAACTGTCATTGCTAAGAATTGGAATAAAGCCAGAAAATCATGGGATAATTCTTATCAGATTATTAGCCTGCATTAAACACAATGCCACCTGGGTCCTTTTACAAATTCAGTATCTAGGGACACCTGGGTGGCTCAGTTGGTTAAGCAGCTGACTTCAGCTCAGGTCATGGTCTCCCAGTCCGTGGGTTCAAGCCCTGCATCAGGCTCTGTGCTGACAGCTCAGAGCCTGGAGCCTGCTTCGAATTCTGTGTCTCCCTGTCTCTCAGCACCTCCTTTGCTCACGCTCTGTCTCTCCCTCTCAAAAATTAATAAACATAAAAAAGTAAAAAAAAAAACAAAACACAACAAATTCAGCATCTAAATACTAACTTCTATGTGTTTATGCCTTGTCTTTCCTACTTATTCTTCTCATTGAAAATAACAACAGTGATTTTTTTTTTCCCCTTGGATATTCTCCTGGAAAAAAAAAAAAGGCATTAAATTTCTATAAAAGGATGAATAGGTTTTACAGGATGCAATTGAGTCAGAAAAAATATTTCTGTTTTCCTTTATTGTTTCTACGTATTTTCTTCATATAGCATGCTTCACAAAATTTTTATAGTGCACTCTAGAACTGGAGTTGGAGCTCCAGTAAAAACATCTCTGTGGGGCAGGAACACCAAAACTAATGGTTAACGTTTCATTTCAGCCTCATTGATGGGGTTCAACATATTTTAAGACAAAGTATCCAAATGGAGCAAGCTTGCAGGCTAGGACCTTCTGTTTCCTCTCAGAGTGATATGACGTTACTTATTATGTTACTTACTAGCCTTTCTAACTCTCGTTAATAAGACAGAGGTCACAACATTCTTCAGTAGCCAAGACACAATGTTAAACGTACTAATATCATGTCTTTCCTGCTCAAGATTTAAAAAAATTTTTTTTCAACGTTTATTTATTTTTGGGACAGAGAGAGACAGAGCATGAACGGGGGAGGGGCAGAGAGAGAGGGAGACACAGAATCGGAAACAGGCTCCAGGCTCTGAGCCATCAGCCCAGAGCCCGACGCGGGGCTCGAACTCCCGGACCGCGAGATCGTGACCTGGCTGAAGTCGGACGCCTAACCGACTGCGCCACCCAGGCGCCCCTCCTGCTCAAGATTTAAAACAGTTCCATTGTCTAATGTCTTTCATTTGGCATAGTGCCCATGTTTTACTTTGAAGCTTTATGGATGGGAATTGCGTATGGAATCATAAAGATTCGTCCTTCTCTCTGATCTTCCTGGCCAACACACCCTCTGTCAGCAAGGGAAGTGCCAGGTTGTAAAGAACAATAGTATCAGGGGACACAACTATGGATGTTCAAGGAGGAAATCCAGACACCTACCAGGACCAGTCGGGGCCAATGCCTTTCCCTCAGGAGGCACAGACCAATCTGCAGAATTTCCTACGGGGGAGCCAGTCGTTCTGGAGTGGTTCGTGTTCCCCTAAATTAGCTGTAGGTCAAAGTTACAGGAAGACCTAAGACAAGAGTGTGGAGTGATCACAATCATTCCCGTATCCAGAGGACAATGGGGGCGTCATCAATAAGAGGCTGCATCTACCCTTTAGTCCAGTCTCCAAAATGTCCTGGATTTGAGAGCTCTGAATTTAAAATTTAGACACTTACACAAAAATTTCTCCAAATTATAGGAGCTCCTTCAAACAGGAGGCAATTAATTTGCAAAGAGTAAAGTTTATTTCTCCTAACTCAGAGGCACTTTCTCATTTGCTGGTTGAGCCAAATCATGATTGGCTTGATGATCATTTGCATGTGCATTATGGCCAAAGCCTCCTTTTCTGTGTTCTGTCTCTATGCCTGCAATTGAAAATTCCTCCATTTTCCTTGGGGAACCAATCTTTGTAATCACTTCGATTTTTCTAGCAGTTAGACTATGTACATATTCTTAATATCTGTTTCATGTGGTGTTGTTTTTGAGCACAGAATTTGGGGAAGCCTATTGAGAATTAAGAACCATTCAATGCTAGGAGAGAAGACTACAGATGATATATTCATAGACTGACTCACTTCACTCTATTCTTATATGAAGTTAATTATACCTAGAACTCTGTCTATTATGTCGGGAAAGAAAATTACAAAAAGAAAAAAGAAAAAAAAGATGACTAGTTCCTCTATGGTTTTGGAAAATTAAGAGTCACAGAATAGGTCAATCTATGTTTCCAAAAAGACCAAGCTGTCTCAACTTCTCAGGTGTCTCTTTGCACTGAGTTGAGGTTCCAGAATGATTCTTTCCCCCCAAACTCCCTAGAATTCTTTTCTTCCTTATACAGGAAAAATCCCATAGTGGAGGATAGCAAATTCTTCCATAACTTTTCATAATTTCAACTCACGGTGCTTAGTTCTATTTTAAATGTAGGGCACACATGTGTAATCATTTGTCAGTTTAAAGAATGTGCAATAAGAACGTGCTTTCGGAATCTCTTTCAGATATATGTCAGCCTAGGATGAACACTGTGAATGCCATATTAACAGGAGTATGGCTCATAGTCTTTGCTGCCAGTTTGGGCAGATTCATTTATGACATGCAAAACATATTAGATGATTTGCTCATTGTTATAAGGATTTCCTGGTCCAGTGAAATAATTTCCTGGTATTTTTCCACATACACAAAATGACTTCCAGAATGTATTCTCAATGCAGGTGGCAGAAATGCACAGATTATCACTGAAAGGCCACTTGAAGTAAGAAAATCAGGGCCTTGACCCTGAATGAATAAATTTCTCTGTGCTCTAAGTTATTGGTCATGCGAAGGCATGCGTACCAGGTAAGGCTAACTAAAACCTTTTTTTAGGCGAGAGCAGAATGAATGTCAATGAATTCATTCAGTGAATTTGATGCCTGTCCCTGGAAGGTAAACAATGAAAAGTCTAGATGTTTTGTTCCTTTCAGAACGATGATAAACAAAGCCCACGATTCTCTTTACAGACATCACATGGAGCCTATGCTGCCCTGATACACTGAGGACATAGTCAAGATTACTATGAAGTTCAAAAGGGTTGTTAAGATACTCCAAATTACATAAGCTTCAATAAAGCAATCTTTGCAAATCAACAGGCTTTCTTTCATGTTAGTGATGTCAGGAAAAACACAGATAACAGAAGCTTATGTCACTGTGTGAATGTAACTACAAATTTGAGTGTCTGTATGATATAGTGGTTAATTATGCTGCATAGTCACTTATGTTTGCTCTGTAGAGGAGTCAGGGTGGGACATTTTATCACTGATGAGAGTAGGTCAGTCATTTATGAATGAGAGCAAGCATGGTCAATGGCAAAACTCATTTTGCTCAATCCTGTAAACTTTTTCTTCTTTTTAATGTTTTTTTTTAATTTATTTATTTTGAAAGACAGAGCACGAGCAGGGGAGGGGTGGGGAGAGAGGGAGAGAGAGAGAATCCCAAGCAGGCTCCACGCCATCAGCACAGAGCCCAATGCGGGGCTCACACTCGTGAACTGTGAGATCATGACCTGAGCCGAAATCAAGAGTTGGACACTCAGCCGACTGAGCAACCCAGGTGCCCCCCGTAACCTTTTTCTATACAGGATTTTAATTGGCAGGGGATTATTATTCTAAGGCTCATCCCCTTTGTGCTTGAACTTGCCATCTGGGGGCCTCTGCATCTAGTTACCAGGGCTGTCGCTATGATGTGATCTCAGTGAAGGTCTGTGGTCCAGAGACTTGGAATGTTTTCTGGGACATTCTCTGCCATTTTTATATTTACCTCATTGTTAGCCATATAAAGCATATTAAAGTCCTGAGCCCCCGTGTCGTGTTACACATCTGTGTGAGAAGCCCCTCGTGTTCAGTTTTGCCCCTAGGATCCACGTGCATAAGATTAGACTGGGTACACATTGAGGAGGTGTCTAGGTAGGTGTAGGTGTTTGTATCAGAACAAGACAAAAGTAACCCTAAGAAGGATCCACAGGACATTGGGAGACCTAAGGCCACAGGCAAAAGACATACCATATGCTCCTCTGTTGTATGTCTTGATTTCTCCACAGATGGCAGTTGACTTGTCCTCCAGTGAGCATGGACCCTCTATAACATCTCCATATCATGATTATGATGATGTGGCTTCCCAACCCACTTAAGTTGTTTCATTTATCTCTTCAATGAGCAAGTCTTGGATTTGTTCTAGTTTGTGTTCTTGAAAATATATCCACGTCTCCATAGCAAAGAGGGCCTAAAGTGTCCTCAGAAATATGGGGGTCACAGGTTTGTTAAAGCTGACTTTGTTACAGTCGCCTGCTCTTTCCATCAGTGGATGACCATTGAACATAAAAAATTAAGTATACAATGCTTATGCCATCAGGACTGTCATCATGTCAGAGCCTTCTTAACAAGAAGAAAGAGACTGTTAGAAATCTGTTGGAGATTTAAGACACTGGTCTGCTCCTGCAGAGCATGTCTCAGGACCACTGATCCGTACAATTTCTGGAAAGTCATTCACTTCAGACCACACTGTGAATGCTATTTGGAATTATGCAATAGGCCATCTGTGCCAGAGTGTGATTTTTCTGATGCTTTCTCCACAGAATATAAATAGCAATGAACTATAAATAATTAAAAATAAACCCTGTCCTTAACATCTTACCTTGTAGTAGGCTCCCCAGTTTCCTGGGTCTTTGGACTTGGACCCAAATTATACATTGGCTCTCTGGGCTCCAATTGGCCGATTGTGGAACTTCTCAGCTTCCATAATCACCCATGCCAAGTCTTTATAATAAATGTCATTGCCATATCAGTGCATCCTATTGGTTCTGCTTCTCTAGAGAACCTCGATTAATACAAATAGATCTGTATCATGAAAAGAAACTGAATTCGTAATTGAAAGGCTTGTCACACAGAGAAGACTGGGGGGAGATGGCTTTGCTCCTGAATTCTATCAAACGTTCAATGAAGAAATAATACCAATATTACACAAATCCTTTCTGAAAATAGAAGAGGAAGAAAACCTATAGAGCTTTTTAAAAAATGTTTATTTTTCAGAGGGAGAGAGAGCACACAAGTGGGGGAGTGGCAGAGAGGGGTGGGAGGATAGAGTATCTGAAACAGATTCTGTGCTGACAGCCCGATGTAGGGCTTGAACCCACAGACCATGAGATCGTGACCTTAGCCGAAGGCAGGCACTTTAGAGGTTATTTTTGAGGCAAGCAGTAACCAGCTCTCCCACCCCCCCAAAAGGATTTAAAATATCATAGGAAAATAAAATATGGATATATTTACATGAGCTTAGACCCATATATCCCTACCAATATTAATAAATTAATCCCAGAAATAAAAAAAGATACTTCATAACCAAACTGGTTTATGCCAGGTGCATAAGATAGTTTTACACCTTTGAATACAGCATAAAGGAGAGAAACCATATGGTCATTACAATAGGTGGAAAAAAAGCTGTTGAAAGAGGTCAAACTCCTTTCATAATAGAGCTTTTCAGCAAATTAAGAATATATTGAAAAATCTTCAGGTTAAGAAAAGGCAGAGCAGGGCTCACTTCAGCAGCACAGGTACTAAAATTGAAACCATTTACAGAAGATTAGCATGACCACTGCACAAGAATGGCATGCAAATTCACGAAGAAAAGGCAGAGCATTCCTCTTGATGGATTCAAAACAAAAGCTAACAAGAACAGTGACACTTAACTCTTTTATCAGCTGTTGCCAGACCCAAGGATAGGAAAAGAGCATCTTTTCTTCCCCTTAGAAGCTTTACCTCAAATGCTTATGCCTTGCAGGAATCGGGGTGGTGGTGAGGAACAGTGAGATTCTCCATCATTCATGATGGGAACCCATGGGCAAGTCCCATGTAAGAACCCAGAGAAACCATAGAGTCGAAAGGATGCCATATTTCTTCTTTCTTTCTAAGTTAAAGGATAATTTAGCCAAGGCTATAGAATATGCAAAGTCCCCCTTATATTTTTGGATAATATAATTCCAGAGATATGGGCAAATAGCACATTACTCCCATCTTTGGGTTTCCTGGCTTAGGCTCTATAAATATTGTGTGCTATTTTCCTATAATGATTGTCAGGCAGTAGAAATGGGAGTAAGAAAGCTAAAGTCACTATAGAAGAACTATCATTGTTAACCAAACATACAAAGTATAATCTGGAAGCAAAGAGGGTAAAAATCCCATATTTATGGAAAAATCTCACATTTTTTATCCAAGGTGAGGACTTCTATGGACAAATTAAGATTTAATTGTAAATCAAAATATCGTCCCAAACAGAGAGCCCATGCTTCTTTCGAAAGGTCTTTGGGAGGGGGTGGGTAAATACGGATTGAGATTTGCCCTCACAATGAGAAAAGAGTGTGCAAAGCTTTGGCACTCAAAACTGTGGCTATCTGAACAGCAGAGATAAAGGATTATCTCTGTCAACATGATGCAATTTACCCCATCAGAGAAACCCATCTGCAAGAAATACAGCACAGAAAGACGCCTTTTAGGGTGAGGCTTCATTATCTCTTCATACAACAGGGAGTTATGTCTTGTTGAGGAAAACCTATGTATACCAAATTCCCACAGCCTATAGTGCCTGATAGGAACACAGATCATATACTGCTTGATGCTCTGGGGAACTTCCTTGGAAAGACTCTGAGACTGACTCTTTGGACTGATGTTTCCAGGTCCTGTAAGGATATCTAGTTAAGACGCAATGCAGTTTGGGGACAGAGGTATGTATTTTTCTTTTATTCTTATTTTAGTGGCTATTCCATCGGCCTGTGAGGGGGCACTAGTTATCTGAGAAGGACATAAATGTCTAAGGGGATTTTTTTCCCATAAAAAAAAAAAATGCTTGACTTTCTAGTAGCAAACTTAATGGTACAATTTTATTTTTTTTTTAATGTTTATTTTTGAGAGAGAGAGCACAAGGGCATGTGAGGGGGAGGGGCAGAGAGAGAGGGGACAGAGGATCCAAAGCAGGTTCTGTGCTGAGAGCACAGAGCCTGATGTGGGAATCGAACTCACAAACCATGAGATCCTGACCTTGAGCTGAAGTCAGACACTTAACCAACTGAGGCACCTGGGGGTTCCTTAATGTTACAATTTTAAAGACCCATAGAACCTTTTCAGATTGTGCTTTGAAATTATCTCAGCCATGTAATCATTTTCAAAAGAGAGAAAACAAGTGGTCTAAAAATCATATTCTATCTAGAATTTGCAACACAGACTACTTTTCCAGTGTTCCCCAAGTCTAGCTAGCTAGTTCTTTTCATGCTGCATTATCCAATTTTTTTGAAACAAATGATTACTTTTGATATTTTTTGTGAATAAAAGAACTTTGATCCAAAAAAGGAGATATTCTTGATCTGGAATGATTTTATAATCTTTACTCTTGCTGAGAAGAAGTATATGGCATTGAGTGGGCACTCAGTTCTAAAGACTGCTTTGTAAATCAGGAATCATTGAAAAAATATTTTTAAAAATGTTGACTTCACCATCATGAACAGTGAGTCACAGTCTGTTCAGAGAAACATGATATTTTTGCTTCAGATATGATTAATAATAAGGAACAAGATTAAAGCTTTTGTAAAAAACAAATTAGTGAAGACAGTATCATACTATTTATAATGTTACAAGCTGTGAGAAAAAATACACATTTATTTCCATACCTAACATAGATGCTCTGTTGGTAATAACAACAGAGATGATCAGTGTGAGAAGACGGTGTTCATTGAACACCCATTGAAACAAGGGTAGGAATAAAGTCAGAATATCATGGAACAATTCTATATAAAAGATTATTGGTCTGCATTAAACACAAATACTTCTATTTCCACTTGGATCCTTAGGCAGATCTAATGCCTAAATACTAGTTTTCTTTGTGCATGGCTTTTCCCCATCCATTTTCCATTTGAAAGGAATTATTCAGGATGCCCCCCCAATAGTAGAAAATCTCCCCAAACTCAACTGTTTAAAACCTAGTATTGAATGGAAGCCTTACCAATAACATAAACAGTCAATTAACAAATATATTTTATGTTACATGTACTATGTACTACATTCTTACAGTAAAGTAAACTAAGGGAAATGTTACTAAGAAAATCATAAGGAATAGAAAATACACTTACAGTACTGTACTGCAAAAATCCATATTTAAGTGGACCTGTGTGGCTCAAAACTGTGCCATTCAAGAGTCAACTTTATAGTGTTTTTTTTTTCCCCCTTGGTCAATCTCCTAAGAATAAAAGGCATTAATTTCTGTAAAAGAACCATCAGATTTTATAGAACTTAATAAAGATAGGTAGAAGAAATATCGGTTTTATCACTACTGCTTTAATATATTTTCCTGATAAGTTTGAACATACCTGTACACCATGCAGCTAAAACTTTTTATAGTGAATTCTAGAGGTGACGTGAAATTGAGGCTGCATGGACCATATACCAAGATTCCCATGATCTCATTTCAAAAAGATCTGTACACAAGACAGAGTATCCATTGCCGTCATGATGAAGATAGCAAAGATGATACTATTTTTTGTTTATACTCAGGATGGTCCCTGTGTTCAAATAAAGAAAGATTTCTTGGTGTCAGAGACGGAAAGCCTTCCGAACGTGAGCATTTTTGCTTAGCATTTCTGTAAGCAGATCACGAGTGGAAAAGCGAGGATTTGGGCTTAGGCAGACACGGCTCCAAGCCACCTAGCTGGCTATGCCAGTGCGGAGCCATATGGTCCCTTCCGGACTTTCTGTGAGTTGTGCCTAGTTTGTATGGTGACTTAGAGGTAGGAAGAGGAAGCAAACTCGGAGTCTAAGAACACACATGCTGCATTGTGGCTTCTTGAGTCAAATGCCGTTTGTTCTCAAACTTCAGAAAGAACTTCCTGAACCCAGAGACCAAGCAATAATATCTCTGTCAGATTTGGGGCGCCTGGGTGGCGCGATCGGTTAAGCGTCCGACTTCAGCCAGGTCACGATCTCGCGGTCCGTGAGTTCGAGCCCCGCGTCGGGCTCTGGGCTGACAGCTCAGAGCCTGGAGCCTGCTTCCGATTCTGTGTCTCCCTCTCTCTCTGCCCCTCCCCCGTTCATGCTCTGTCTCTCTCTGTCCCAAAAATAAATAAACGTTGAAAAAAAAAATTTAAAAAAAAAAAAAAAAAAAAATATCTCTGTCAGATTCTACCTAGGAACAGAGGTGTAAATGAAAGAATTCTGCACAGCAAAATAAGGAATCAAAGTAACAAATATTGTCTCTCCATGGGGCGGGAATACCAGGACTAGTGGGCGATATGTATTTTCAGCTTCAGGGCTGAGATGGCCAACATTGTTTCAAGACAGAGGACCTATAAGACACATGCACCCAAGCTAAGATTCTCAGCTTCCTATAATGTAAGCGTACGTTACTTACACAGCCTTCCTGAAACTCAATATAATAGAGAGTATGTCAGTCTGAACCGCCTGAGGTACATCGTTAAATACTTAATAAGTGTCAGATTTCCCACCCTTGAGAACTGAAAAAATTACAAGTGTCCTAATTTCTTACATTTAGCACCGTACCTGTCTTTTACTTTAAAATATTTATGTGCATTAACTATCGAATGGAATCAAAGAGACTAATCCTTTTACCTGATCTTTCTGGCCAACACATGCTTCACTTGTGTTGTGACTCAACACCCCCAGCGGGGTGAGCAACAGGGTTGTGAAGAACAACGGTACCAAGGGACACAACTATGGATCTTCAACGAAGAGATCCAGCCATCTACCTGGGCCAGTCGGGGCCAATGCCTCTCCCTCAGGAGGCACAGAGCAATCTGCAGAATTTCCTAAAGGGGGAGCCAGTTATTCTTGGGGTAAGTACAATGAAGGTCATCTAAGGATTCTGAGGTGGCTCACATTCTCCTAAATTCGCTCTGGGCCAAAGCCACATGATTACCTAAAAGTGTGGAGTGGTCACAGTGATTCCTATATCGAGAGGACTATGGGACTTTTAAATAAGGGACCACATATACCATTTAGCCAAATCACCAAAGTGTTTTATATTTGGGAACACTGAATGTAAACTTAGGTACTGATCATGGAATCCCCAAATGAAAGTAGTCCTGAGTCATTTACAACCTCCAAATGCGGGGCAAGTAATTCAAAGAGTAAAGCAAATTCCTCCTAACTCGAAGGTACTTTCTCACTTTCTAGGTGAGCCAGATCATGATTGGCCTAATGAATATTTGCCTGTGGATCATGGTAAAGGTCTTTCTTTCATTCCACAAACTACATCTATTCCTAGAGAACACGGTATATACCTTCATTTTCCTTTTGGGACCAATCTTTGTAAGTAAATTGGAATCACTTTGATTTCTGTATTACTTAGAACTTACATAAAATCCTTAATAGTTATCTATCAGCACAAAATTTAGGAGAAAGTATTGAGAAATATTTGGTGTTAGGAAAAAATACTATAGAATGAGAATACATTCACAGACTAACTCATTGAACTTTATCTTTGTACAGTTAATTATATCTGGAATTATGTCTATTGCGTCTGGAAAGAAAACAACAAAAAAAATGGTGCGTTTACCTACAATTTTAGAAAATTAAAAGAGGCATAGCATAAATCAGCCTTCATTTCCTGGGGTGCCTAGGTAGGCCAGTTGGTTAAGCATCCAACTTCAGCTCAGGTCATGATCTCAGGTTTGTGATTTTGAGCCCTGCATTCATTGGGCTCTGTGCTGACAGCTCAGACAGAGCCTGGAGCCTGCTGCAGGGAGATTCTGTGTCTCCCTCTCTCTCTGCTCCTCCCACTCTCTCTGCCCCTCCCTTTCTCTGCTTATGCTCTCTTTCTCTCATTAATGAATAAACATTAAAAAAATGTTAAATCAACCTTTGTTTCCAGAATGATCAAGCTGTCTCAGATTCCCAGGTTTTTCTTTGCCTTGAGTTAAGATTCCAGAATGATTCCTTCCCTATTCCCCCATAGGTCATGCTGTCTCTGTCTGGCTCAGATGAGAAATTATCCAATAGTGGGTAACAACCCTGGGCATAATTTTGATGAATTCCAATTTTACTTACATTTTAAATATAATGCATACATATGTACAATCATTTGCCAGAGTCAAGAGGGTAAGAACAGGGACTCCGTTTCTGATTCTCTTTCAGATCTGTAGCAGCCTTGGAACGAACACGCTGGCTGCCATATTGGCTGGAGTGTCGCTAATAATCCTTGCAATCAGAACGGAAGTCTCCAGTCACTTCTTATCAGAAACAGTTTTAGCTCGTTATTTCTTAATTGTAAGTATTGAAAGACCTAGTGGAAAAAATATCTCCTGATATCTATCCACATATATAAAATTCCTTGCAGATGTCATTTTCATCCCAAGGGAGCAAGGGGGGGAGGGGCGTGTGGCACCTGGGTGGCTCAGTCAGTGAAGTGTCTGACTTTGGCTCAGGTCATGATCCTATGGGTCGTGGGTTCCTGTCCCACGTTGGGCTCCTCACTGACAGTGTGTAGCCTGCTTGGAATTCTCTCTCTCTCTCCCTCTGTCTCTGGCCCTCCCCAATTCATGCTCTTTCTCTCAAAATAAATAATAAAATAAGCTTAAGAAAATTTTGAAAACAAAAACAAAAAACACAAGTGGGTAATAGGGCATAGATTAAAACTGACAAATCACCTGAAGAAAGATGGTCAGGGCCTTGACCCTGAGTGAATAAATATCTCTGTACTACACATTATTGGTGATGTTAGGATCTAAGTACATCAGGTGAAGCTAAGTAAAACCCTTACTTTAGATAAAACCAGAATGGGTGCCAATGAATTCAGCCAATGATTGTGATTGCTGTCTTCATCAAGGTAAAGAGGAATCTAGTTGTTGAGTCCATTCAGCACAATGACAGACAAAGTCCAGGATCCTTTCAAGAAAGTACGTTCAACAAAACCGACACTGATCTACTGATCATATGATCAAAATCACTATGAGCTACAAAGGGATCTTAAAACATTCCAATTTGTAGACACCTCAAGAAAGCATGGTTTGCAAATGAGCAGGCTTTTTATCAGTGGGTTATGTCGAGGAAGAAAGTGGATAACGGGATCTCACTTCATCTGTGTGAAAATTATAAAGGAATGAACTTGCAAATTTGGGAGTCTGTAAATTAGTCATTACGGGTATCTCTGCCCAGATTTTATCTGAAGGTGGGGCCAGACTGGGATATTTTCCTACCCTGGGTTATGAAGGAGAGTGTGCAGGGTCCACGGCAGGGCCTCTCTTTCTCAGGCCTTTAATCTTGTCTCTCCGCATGATTTTAATTTGCAGGGGATTATGATTATGAAACTGATCCTCATAATCCTGGGACTCATCGTCTCGGTGTTGCTGTCTGCATTTGGATGCAGTGCTGTCTGCTGTGATGTGACCTCAGTGAGTTTCTGTTATCCCGAGGACTCAGAATGTGTTTTAGGGTATTCTCCACCATTTGTACATTTACCTCTTTAAGTTTTACTGAACCGTTCAAACCGTAAAAAACTCTTAAGCCCCTCTTTCATGTTCGGAGCCCCTCACACTCTGTTTTGCCACTAACAGCAGCCAGCGTTAAGATTGGCCCGACACGGATACTGACAGGGCGGAGCTTGCCTGGGATTTTCATTCTCTCTCTCTCTCTCTCTCTCAAGATAAATGAATAAACTTAAAAAAAAAAAAAAAAAAGA